CTGCCCAACGATAAAAATAGGCTGGGGATCGGGTGCCCCAGGGCGCAGCAGGTCTGATGCACCAGGTCCTCCGTGTAGGCTTTTTGTGCCGGTGTGCGTCGTCTGGCGAGCCGGCAGAGCCGCGGATCCTGTTTTCTTCTCGCAAGGGCGGTTTTGGGCTGTGTCAGTTCTGGGTCGAGGTGGCGGGGCTGTGACAGATGGCAAAACTTGCTTGGTTTAAGAGCTCTCCGGAGCTGGGAGGGATTCAAAGTTTTGGATGCCATCCAGCATCCATTATCTCCTCAGTGACTGAAGCCACTCAGCTGTCAACCTCGTGTCTCATAACGCGGTGATATATTGTCAATGGTTTTTCTTTGTCCCGGCATGTCTTCATTAGTTGTCGGTGCTGGAAGCCTCATCAGAGGCAAGTGCGTGCCGGGCGCTGCTGCTTGGCCGGCCTGGTGGGTGCTGGAAGTGTCACCCCCTTCGGGGATCTCCCATGCCGTCGATCACCGGGATGCTTTGCAAACCAGTGACTCCGTAGCTTTCTCTGAAATGCAGGGGATTAAATAATCTTGGACAATCCCAGTGTTCAGGCTGTCTGTAAAGTCGGCATCAAACGGAAAGGTGTCTGTTGTCAAATCCCCTTCTGTTCTGGGCTGCCCCTCGATGCTCCTGCCGGCCGTGGCACCGCTCCCCTCGAACGCTTGCGTTCGGATCCAACCCTTGTGAGCTGCAGAGCCAAATTGTGCTTACCACTTCAGGTTTCCCTTATATTTAGAAATGAATGCGGGCAGCGTTACTGATTCACATACAGTTTAAATGGCAAAAAGATCAGGTTTCCCTGAGCGGTGGCTGGTGTCAGTGACGCTGCCGGGAAGGCCTTTGGCACGGGGGGGGTGTCTCCGGCGCTGTGCTCGGCTGACCGTGGAGCAGAGCCTTCCCGTGGGCAGCAGCCAGGTCAGGGGCGGCGCAGGTCTCAGGCTCAGACCGAAGGTCTCGTCTTTGTCTAAAGCAGGGTGAAGCGGGGAGGTGGCCTGCCCCAGGGCTCTGGGGGGCAGGTCATCCCTGGCAGAGCAAGCCGCCTTGCCCTAGCCTTCACTATCGCCACGCGCCACCAAAACGAGGACAAAACCCCACAAACTTGTATCGGTTGGAGCTCCCATGAAAGGGTTTATTGTGGAAGCGGGCGAGCACGGGACAGTGGTGGTACCAGCAGATCTGCTGCTGAAACCCGGCACAGAGTGGAGCATTACAGCGTCTCATCAGCTCTTCTTGCTCCTTCCCAACGTGAACCATCAGGGCTGGTGAGTGGGGCTTTCTGTGGCCCCTCACTGCTGGGATAAAACATGCCCTGTGGCTGTCTTGGAAATCTCTCCAGCCACCCAAGCACGGGTGGGAATTACAGCTGGGTGATGAGTTTGTGCCCCAGGCAGTTCCCCTTGCAGCGGAGAAATTGCTGAGGAACTGAAACCGGTCTTACGGCAGCAGCAATCTCCATCCCCAGGAAGCAGATGGAGAAGTTCCTTAGAAAGGGCTTCGGGCACTGGCCATGCAGGATGGGCTGCGTGGCAGCCGGGGCCGGCGGGGGTGGCTGCCTCGGGGGGCGTTCTGGCATTGCACGTGAGTGCCTCGCTGCGGCTCCATCACAGCCAGCCCTGTTCCCTGCCCCATGGCGCCCGTCCCGTCACCCGGGGTCTGCGGGGATGAACGCACGGAGATGAATGGGGCCCCTGTCCCCTCCACTGCTGCTGCTGTTTGCCTCCAAGAAGAAAGCAAACCAGCAAAACTAATTTTTTGGGATTGGGAATGGATTCCTCCCAACCTTAGTTTCTATGTAGATCCTGCCATAAAAAAAGCACGTTCTGATTTCTTCTTGGTTTAGATCTGGAGTGCTGCAGCTCCCTTTTCTTTCCTCAGATACGCCCCGTATGAGGCTGTAAGTGGCCCGGGAGAGCCGGGGAACGCTGTCCTGGGTGGCATTTGTGACCACGCAGAGCGGGGTGACCAGGAGCAGGGGTGATGCTGCGGCAGCCAGCAGCGTCAGGGGCTCAGAAAAGCACTTTCTTCAGTCTGTGCTGAAATAAAAAAGCTTGAGGAAGTTAAGTTTCCACTCCTTTTCCCCTTACCCTTTCACTTCAGCCTTTTCCGTATCTGCTAAGAGACATCAGATTAGTAGTTTGCAGCAATAAGCAACTTCAGGGTTAATACTGAATTTGGCCTGTGGGTGCTCTTACAGGCCCCGTTTCACATTTATACCAGTTCATCTGGAAATGTGTCCTTGTGCGGAGACAGAAGTTGGCCGTGGCGCTGGCTGCAGCCCTCCCTAGCTGGGGAGGCAGATGCTGCATCCCTAACCTACAAAGCTAACTTTCTGCAGACTCGTACATTTGAAGGTCAAGGGGAACTGATGATCAGCTCCGAGCCTTTTCATGAGGCCGACCGTAGGATTGTACCCAGCGTTTCGTGAATCATGCCTATAAACTGGATGAGCTTTTGAAAAGGCATCCAGTCTCGAGTTGTTTGGTTGACGCAGTGAAGGCCTTGCTATTAAAAAGGGTTTGGTTTTTTTTTAAAAGGTTTTTTCTGTTGTTGTTTTTGGGGGGGAGAGAAGGTTACTGTGCCAAACTTATCTTTAATCTATTAAAATTGCCTCCTTAAAAAGGTGGTGCAGTAGGAAGTTGCCTTGGCACTGACGAGGAAGGACGGTGTTCATTTGGGTGATGGCTGCAAGAGACACACGTGATCTTTGTGTGAATATACATTTCTTAAATGTTTACTTTTTCAAGTGCTCCTCTTGATGTTTTTGGTTTTTTTTTTTTTAATTAAAATAACCCCTTTGCCCGAAGGGAAATCCTAACTCTTATTCAGTGCATTCTTTTAATTAGTTTTAAGATTACGCTATGCTTACCTATTGCTTTAAAATTCAAAAGCGCATTATACGTGTCTGTGAAAAGACAAATCCCCACTGAGCTGGATCCGTGGGACCAGATGGCGTCGGCAGCTGTATCTGGCGTCAGGCTTGGCCTTGGGAGCGGTGAGTGCCTCTCTGCGCCTGCGCCCGCTCTCCAGGGACGCTTGGCACTTCCCTGTCACTGAAAGGACCCACAGCCGTGTCTCCTGAGGTCCCTGCAGAGGTTTCCCAGGGATTTCGGTGGGAGCAGGATCCCTGTTGTGTTTCCAGGTCCTGCTCGCTCAGAGCTCAGTGCAGTCGAAGCCTTCAGCTCTGGAGCGGCTGAGAGATGCCGGGACCGAGTTAGCAAAGAGCCTTCACGAAGCAGCATCCGAGCAGGAGAGTAACAAGGTGCTGATGCCTGCAGATGGGGCACGTTCCTGCCCTGCTCCCCCCTCCTCCCCAGCCGCGGCCGGCACAGCGCTCCCCGCTGCGGGCACGGAGCAGTCACCGTCTTCAGCCTTGGTCCTCGGTGCTGTGCGTGAAGCATCCACGGCCAGGCCACTTAACGCCAATCTGATGGTGGCTTTCGAGTTGACTGCCTGTAATTGTCAGAAAAGATTTTTAAAAAAAAAAAAAAAAAAGATGCCATCCGAATTGGTGTCTGCTAGGGGTGGGTGTGCAGATGGTGGTGGTCACCGAGGAGCACCTCCTGGCTCCAGCCCCCGTGGTGGTGGGGTCCCCGCGTGGTGGAGGTGCCAAAGAAGGGAGCAGTCGCTGCTTCCTGAGGGCTCTTTTATTACCGAGCATTAAGGTGTTTTCACAGAAGTCAGTAAAAATAGCACCTTATTGATCTTGCTACGGAACTTTGTGCGAGCAAGTTTGGCTTTCTGGCCTGGGTTGGTGGTTTGCAGAAAGCAGGGAGAAGCAGAAAGCTGCAGATTCCTGCGAGCATGGTTTGATTTGGATCCGCCTTGGGAAGGAACAGGGTGCTAGTCCACAGCCTCCTATTTACATCGTCCCAAACAGCTGCATGGTTTTTTGATTTCTTTAAAGGAATTTTTAAAAGGAAAGATAGGAGGGGAAAAAATGCAGAAAGGAAGGGAAGGCCCCGGAGGAGATGGAGAAAAATATGCTGCAGTATTTAACAATAAAAATAGAGCTTCGGAGGCTCCCTGGCCCCAGATGCTCGCACTGCGCAGAGCTGGAAACCAGAGGGTGGGAGGGCAGCTCTGCGGTTCCCAGGGGACCTGCGAGCCAGTGCCGTGAATCCCAGGGCAGAGATGGGGTGTGGGGTAAGGGCGGGCAGTGCCGGGGTGCCGAAACCCCTCGGTACGAGCACTGAGAGCGCGTCGGGGCGCGGGGCTGGCACACGCGTGGTTATGAATCGTGGGACTGGATTTCCTCTGGGCACATTGGCACTGTGGTACGTTGCGGGTGCCCGGTTCCCACGGAGCAGCGCTGGAGGCTGGAAGTGCAGTGTGATGCAGAGATGCTGAGCTGGTCCTGGGCCCCTTGCACCGAATTATGGGCAGGCGAGCTGCTCTCCGGGGAGGCTGCTGATGCTGGCCGCGGGAAGGGCTGGCTGAGACTGTGCGTGGTGGTACCTCACTGCCTCAGACCCGCCGTGTGCCCTGGGGTGCCGCTTTGGCCAATGCTGGGACGGACACGCTGCCCCAGGAGCCGTGCCGCTCCCCTCCGCCTGGCTCTGGGAGAATGTCCGGTGGTTTCAGTATGCTCCCGCCCCTCTCCTCCTCCACGGTCTCCTTGCAAAGTTTGCATCGGGTCATTACAAAGTGTGACCCAGGGTCACCGTTTGCACCTTTTCTGCACGCTCCGGGCGCTGGTCCAGAACTTACTCGTGCTGCAAAAAGCAGCCGACAGCTGGGAAGCACAAACCCACGCTTTTCTGCAGAGCCTGGTCCTGCAGCCCTCCTGCACAGGCTGCTGCGGGGGCCGGCCTCTGCCCCGGCCCCACGGGGCTCAGCTGGGAGCTGGGCTGACGGGAGCCGTGTTGGGAGAGCTTCCTGGGCCCGCGGCGCTCTGCGGGGCTGGAGAGGATCTCTTCCTCCTGCTGGTGAAGGTACACGGTTCAGAAAACGGGGAAGAAAGGATGGAGAGCAGCCCTGCCGAGAGGGACTTGGGGGTGCTGGGGGATGAAAAGCTGGACATGAGCCGGCAATGTGCGCTGGCAGCCCAGAAGGCCAACCGTACTCTGGGCTGCATCAAAAGAAGC